GAGGCGAAGAAGTTTAAGGAGGGAATTCTAGAGCTTGTGGCCCAATCAGTTGAAGTCACAGCCAAACAACAGTGCGGCAATTAAAAATTGGAGATTCTTGTCACCAAAAGTGGAGGATTGCAAAGATCGCTGGCATTAATAGATGAAAAGAACAAGGCTACAGAGAGGTCTGAAACAATGGTGAAAACTTTAAAATGAAGGCACTGCTAGATCAGCAGCCAACGATAGTCAGTGAACAGAAGAGTGATGGCTAACCACAGTTTGCTGTGAGACAGGATATGGGTGGCTGAGTTCTGGATGAACTCAGTCTACAGATGGTCAGAGGTGATTGGTCAGGAAAGTATTATCAAGTTTAAAGGCAGTTGTTATGACCTACACAGAAACAGATGATCAGGGGCCATTGGTAGGTTGATTTCAGAAGAAGGAAAGTCATCTTAGTGTTATGCCTCACTGGGGTAGCTCCAATACTCCCAGAAAATCTCACTAATGAAAGATTTTGAAAAGTAAACAAAATTCCCCATAGACCAGTTTCTGTACTTAACAAGAATGACTATATATTACAAATGAATAGATTCTATTTACAAATAAATAACTGTTGACATTTAACTCTACCAATTAAAACTCTAAACCCATTAATAACTCTCCCTCTATATACATACACACAGACAGCGAAAAAAAACATGGGTGTTACAAGTGGAAGGAAAGACCCCAGTCAGCAGTTCAGTGGTCTTGTCCAGAGGGATTGCTCAGATAATCCAGTTGTTGAACAGTTTACTGCTTCTCAATCTTCCTTTTCCAGATTCAGTGTGACTGGTTGATTCTTATAAAGGTCTTTGATTTACTAGTGAAAAGTCACTAGCTTAGAAATGGAAAGGAGAAATAAGCTGGCTATCCTGAGGCTTGAGATGCTTTTTATTGCAGAGAGGAGATAGCTTCTACCAAAATGCTCATACCCACAAACTGTTCTGCTACCTGGGAACCAATCATACAGTTGATGGGAGGCAGAAGGCCTTTGTCATAGATAACTGGTCACTAGTGCACAGACCAATCAGCTACTTGTTGCCAGTCAATGCCCATTTGTACACAACCCTTGGTTCCAGTTTGTCTAAAAACTAGTCTTCCACTACTGCTTGATGAAATAGCTGTGTAAACACTACCAACAATGAGTATCAGGTTATGGAGTCATAGAGATGTACAGCACAGGAACAGATCCTTCAGTCCAACTTGTGCATGCTAACTAAATAGCCTAAATTAATCTAGTCCTATTTGCCAGCATTTGGCCCACATCCGTCTAAACCCTTCCTATTGATATACCCATCTGGATTCCTTTTAAATGTTGTAATTGTACCAGCCTCCAACACTTCCTCTGGCAACTCAATCCATACATACACCACCCTCTGTGTGAAGAAGTTCCCTTTAGGTCCCTTTAAATTGTTCCCCTCTCATCTTAAACCTATGCCGTCTAGTTTTGGACTCACTCACCATTGGAAAAAGACCTTGTCTATTAACCCTATCCATGTCCCTCATGATTTTATAAACCACTATAAGATCACCCCTTTGATGCGCCAGAGAAAATAGTCCCAGCCTATTCAGGCTCTCCCTATAGCTCAAACCCTCCAACCCTGGCAACATCCTTGTAAATCTTTTCTGAACCCTTTCATCCTTCCTATAGCAGGGAGGCCAGAAATGCACACAGTATTCCAAAAGTGGCCTAACCAATGTCCTGTACAGCTGCAACATGACCTCCCAACTCCTATACTCAATGTACTGATCAATAAAGGAAAGCATACCAAACGCCTTCTTCACTATCCTATCTACCTGCAATTCCACTTGCAAGGAACTATGAACCCGCACTCCAAGGTCTCTTTGTTCAGCAACACACCTCAGGACATTACAATTTAGTGTATAAGTCCTACATTGATTTGCCTTTCCATAATGCAGCACCTCACATTTATCTAAATTAAACTCCATCTGCCACTCCTCGGCCCATTGGCCCAACTGAACAAGATCCCATTGTACTCTGAGGTAATCTCTTTGCTGTCCATTGCACCTCCAATTTTGGTGTCATCTGCAAACTTACTAACCATACTTCCTATGTTCACATCTAAATCATTTATATAAATGACGAAAAGCAGTGGACCCAGCACCAATCCTTGTGACACACTGCTGGTCGCAGGCCTCCAGTCTGAAAGTCAATCCTCCACCACCATCCTCTGTCTTCTACCTTCCAGCCAGTTCTATGTCCAAATGGCCAGCTCTCCCTGTATTCAATGTGATTTAACCTTGCTAAGCAGTTTACCACGCAGAATCTTGTTGAATACCTTATTGAAGTCCAGAAAGATCACGTCCATCGTTTTGCCCTCATCAATCCTCTTTGTTACTTCTTCAAAAAACTCAGTTAAGTTAATGAGATATGATTTCCCACATGGAAAGCCATGTTGACTATCTCTAATCAGTCCTTGCCTTTCCAAATACATGTAAATCCTGTCCCTCAGGATTCCCTCCAACAACATGCCCACCACCGATGTCAGGCTCACTGGTCTATAGTTCCCTGGTTTTTCCTTACCACCTTTTCTAAATACTGGCACTGCATGAGCCAACCTGCAGTCTTCCAGCATCTCGCCTGTGGCTATCGATGATACAAATATCTCAGCAAGGGGCCCAGCAATCACTTCCCTAGCTTCCCAGAGTTCTAGGGTACAGCTGATCAGGTCCTAAGGATTTATCCACCTTTATACATTTTAAGTCGTCCAGCACCACCTCCTGTGTAATATAGACATTTTTCAAGAAGTCGCTATTTATTTCCCCATGTTCTATATCTTCCATATCCTTCTCCACAGTAAACACTGATGCAAAATACTTGTTTAGTATCTCCCCCATCTCCTGTGGTTCCACACATTGGCAGCCTTGCTGAACTTTAAGAGGCCCCATTCTCTCCCTTGTTACCCTTTTGTCCTTAATGTATTTGTGGAATTCCTTTGGATTCTCCTTAACCCTATTTGCCAATTTCCCTTTGCACCCCACAATCCCCGAGTACCTCTAAGTATTTCAATAACTGTATAAAGAGATTGTTGTCACTTTTTAAAATTTGAATTCCTGTTGCCACCACTATTCAAGTTGCAATACATAACCTCTGTGGGCAACATCCACAGCTTTTATATTCAGTTTAAATCTTCCCATGTAAATACATCTGATCCACAAAGTCCCTTAGAGACAATGTACTCCAGTTGAGAACAATTTGGCAAACTAACTTATTTTGTTCTGTGATTAGTCCATTCAGCAAACTGACTCTTCTTCAGAATAATCCCTCAATGTGTTAATGCCACAGGTTGGACAGACCCCTAATCTGGACCTAATCCCCTTGCCAGGCAGCTAAACTCTATTTGGCATCTCTTCCACCACTTCCTTGTGAGGAGGTGATGGTTCAGCACAGCAGAGACATGATCTGCTATCAGTAAAGGCCACTATCCATTGGCCCAGTCCCAACATTGGTGAGGTTATTCATGGTTGATGGAAAAAGGCTAGAGTTGGACAAGTTCCAGAATGTGGACAGCTATGAACATTCGTGGGTGGTCATGATGTCAGCATTGGCAGTGTTGGCCAGGAGAGGGGCTGATTGTTGCATACCAGGTATATGGACATGCAATACTTGTATGCATTCAGCTGTATGCTTGAACACACACACATACATATACATACGCATGTACACATGCATTTCTGTCTGGACATTACAGGAAACTGATCAGCCTGTCACTCAGCACAGATCTGTGAATGAACTTGACCCATACAAATTTAGAATATCCCTACCATTAAAGGAACATTCTCCCTTGTCTCTTCTACCGTGCATCCCCAGACAGCCGAATATGGACTTAATGTACCAAGGTTAAATTTTCCAGTCACACATATTCTTGGTAGTTTTAATCCTAATATTAGATGGTACCACCATGGAAATAGTGTTCTAAATTTGAGACTAACTGCCTAATGCATGTTTAATTGTAATTGGTGCAGATTGTGTGCTACAGTATGTACTGAGATCCTTAACCACTTTCATTCCTAACCCAGTGCTGTGAATAGGGCTCCCACAAGCAGTATGTGACTCCTCAGTGTGAAATATCCTTTTTGTCTTTAACAGAAACAAGTGAATTTGGAGATTCCGATAGAGGTGTCTGTGGTGAATGAGGTGAAGTCCCAGCCAACTGTCACTGTCTCCAAGGATTTGGCTCATGGGAATCTGACAAATTTTGACCCTCAGCCAGTAGGAATTCCGGAAAGAAAACTTGTGCAGAGCAAAGATTCGGAACAAGACAGGACTCCTTCCAAAGATACGAGGGAGATCTCAACTACAGGCTCCAGAGATCGACTGGAAGAGCAATCAGATAATGAGCTTGTGTTGAAGGAAGGGGGGAGAAAAGAATCTGTTTTCCTCAAAGGCCAACAGTCGTTTGCTCAAAGTGAGAATTCACTGGAAGAAGATACCCCAGACCTAATGGAGAAAACGGAGGGAAATGTCTTTGCCACCAGCAATGGGTCTTTGGTCAATTCTGACTATTCATATCAAAGTCTCGAAAATGGAACCCATTTGCTTTCACACAATCCGAATGCAACCACACTGATTAATTCAGGGTCACCTGTTTCAGTCACTCCAACGTCTGGGATTGATGGTAGTAATGATGTCATCATTCATGCAACAAAGGTTTCTGTCATTCAACACACCGATGTAGACAATCATGACACTCCAGCTCATGGTGACCCATTTTTTTCAAAGACACAGCACGATGAAGATTGGACCCATTCCACAAAATTAGCCACCATAAAGAGAGAAGCCAACTTTGACCTTCGGACTTACCATGTGGAGAAAAAGCCTACAAGACTTTTTTCTGATGAAGAAGAAAAATATCAGGCGGTAGTGATTAAAGGAACAGTTGATGATGAAATGCTTACAGAGGAGAGAAGAGAGATTATTAGAAACCAAGCTATGAAGAAAAATGCCACCATTGCTGAGAAATGGGCATCGGCAGAGCAACTGAATATGGAGGAGAAACCATCACTTGCAGATTCCATGCAGAAACAAGATGAAATGAAGATACTTTCCACCGAAACCAATGCATCACCCTTCTTATCCTCCACAGCTCATTCTGAAGGTATCAACACTGAACAAATAAACTTCACTGCTGCTCGCCAGCAGTTCCTTGAGATGGAGAAGTCACAGCCAGAAGTCCCGATGAGCCCGAGACCCTCTGCTCAAACCTCCAGGATCTTGAATCAATCTTCCACGCTGTCTGAATCAATGCATCCTCTTCGCTACAAGGTGGACACAAGTCCAGGGGTCACTCTACAGGCTGTTAGAGTTGAATGCCTCCCTGATGAAGAAAATGAGTTCCTGGAGAAGCCTTTCCCTAAAAGCAATGGCACCTTCATTGCTGAAAAAGCAACTGTGGAAAATGGTGACGGTGGAATGTTTGGCAAGAGCCAGCAAACTCTGCCTGTCTGCTCATCAATAGAAGACCTTGACTCTGGACTGGGGGAGATGCCCAATGACTGCAGCTATGGGTATACAAGTGATAGTGGGGCATCAACTGAAATACTGAACACAGGAACTGATAACAGTGGTGCTGCTTTGGAATCCCCAGAAGTGAAACGTGTGTCTGAAACACCCATTCAGAAGGAAATTCGATTGGCCATGGAGAGGGAAGACAGTCTTCGTAAGGAGCGAGGAATTAAGAAGTCTGGCAGCTCTGAAGAAATGGTGGAAATCAGGACCAAGCCACTGTTATCACAACTGCCTCCAACATCTCTTTTCTCAAAATCTAAAGACAAAAACTGGATGGTTTTTTTTGTTCAGAGAGAAATCGAAATGGACTCGAAGAGGGAAGAGAAGTTGAAGGAAGAAGGTAAAGTCCAGGGCTTATATGATAAAGGAATGCCAGAAGAAGTGGAAAAGCGCAAAAAGGTTTTTGAACAACAAATAGATGATGTGCCTGTTGTACCACAGCAGGGCCAGCACCCAAAGATAACCAGTTCTGCTTCACAGGATTCTGTCGCTGTACACAGCCTTCCAGTGGAAGGCAGCACAATCCAAGGTGATTCAACAGAATATAAAGTAATCTTGCGAGAATATCCAGACTATCAGCTGAATAGTAAAAGCAATTCCAAGACCAACAGTTCAAAGATAGATCCAGCTTCACACAGCACAGTGGCAAGGCTGGTGGAAAACTGGCCCACACTCAGTGAAGAGCCCTACATCTTGCGACCACTGAAGTCCCAGACCACTTTCCTCATAGAGAAGGAAATTGAGGAAGAACAGCATCGGGAAAAGGAGCTGCAGGCTCAGAGGCAGAGGTGGCAGCCTGTTGGGAACCTTGACTCGAGTAAGTGTATTGTGCCAGATGTTGAAATTTTCAGTATTCACTATCACTGCCCAACTGAAACAGATAGTAGTTCCAGGAGTCCACAAACGCCCAGGATAACATAGAAATCCAGAAATTGCTGTCAGTGCTTCAACATTTCTCCAGGTTGTCTTTAGCGATACCCGCTTCTCCAATCCTATTGGTTTCAATGTCATGAACAAAGTACAAAGTAATTATTGCTGAAAAACTTACTTGCCACGAAAGGCATATATTCGTGAGATGTCAAATTTCTTTGTAGTAACAAAATCTTTGTTCTAGAATTTCCTCATTTTCATCTTAGTTTATATCTAATTCCAATCATCATAATTTATTTGCTATCTGAAAATTTGAAGTAGAAGTGAAGAATTTTAAACACGTTAAACTTCCAGGTATGCAAATCCTTCAGTGATATTAGCTATTTACCTACTTACTGAGGCATCCTCAAGAGATCCCCTTCACTCAGTACCAGATTTAAACCGTAGAGGGGAAAGAGGAAATTCCCTCTGAGGAGCTTGCTACAATTGAGATCAGCATTGAGTGTTCTTGCTTCACCACTGACTGTGAAATCCAGGCCAGGGAGTACTTGTCTGCTACCTCCAACTGTTTCAGCTCAAACTAACCTTTAATGGAGACAGAACCTGCTGATGTGAAAAATATGTTTTTAAGAGTACACTACCTCACTATTCAACATGCTTGAGTGCTCTGTAATAAACATTCTTGTGTGTTAGAATGTAAGGAAAGTTTTTGTCTGAGTAGTATCAAGGCATTTAAAGGGAAGCTGGATGAGCACATGAGGAGAAGTGCAAAGAAAGATGTGCTGATAGAGTGAGAGGAGTCTTATGTGAAACATCAGTGCTGCGTGGGACAATTGGGCGTGATGGCCTGTAGTTTGCAGACACCATATGGAGCACTGTAGTTCCCGGGGACTTTGATTGTCCATGATTTATTCTGAGATGTCCCAGGAATTGCAAATAGTTTTCTTAACTGACAATGACCCAAGTTGTAATTTTGATTGGAGCATTGAAGACCCAAGTTTCACTAGAACCTGACTGCCTCTCCTCTTTATCTGTTCTCTCTCTCCCACTTGGACCACATATTCTAATGGCCAAAACAATGCTGACTGGAGCTGTACATCTGGCCTGTGCAGAATCCCCAGTGCAGCTGACTCCGTGGGAACTGTCCAGGAAAGTGAATTTTCCAAAGGGCTAAATCCCTTGTGTCTGGAACCCTTCGTGAAATCCTGTTAAAGTCAGAGAATTTGGAAAGTTCCAACTCGTTTAAATTTTATAGTTACCTAAGGAAGGTTAGAGGATTTAAAAACCCACCCTAACTCCTGGGTTGACCATCAAGCTGAATGGTGCTCCTTACTGACCCCAACAACTCATCCATTTATTTGGCTGCAGCCCCCACCCCAAAAACTGGTTCCCTCTCACCCACCTCCCACTTCCTACACCATCCCCCCAAAAAACGTATGTATATATCCTTTCACAGTAGCTATTACCATCTGCTGGATGCCTTAAACTTCAAAATGCGGCACTCAGTGCTGTACAAGGGGATGTGGTTTCTACACCAAATCTCTCTGCTGCTGGATTTGGGGTTTCCTGGACAGGTTCATAACTGGAGGTCCCTGTCCAGGAATCTCCAATATAGCAGTCACTCAAAGGTGAGTGGGTAATTTTTAATCATGTCAGGGTTGGAAATAGGGTTTCAGATGCTGATTGGAATGCTTGGTTCTTGATCCCACCTCAGTTCCAAGTCTCCCTTAACTCTGAACCCATGTCCCAGAGCATTAGTCTGGGCCTCTGGATTGCTAGTGTAGACTCATTAGCACTACACCACTGCCTTCCCCATATCACAGGCAGCCCTTTCCACCTCGGCGCACCATATCATGTCTTGAGTCAGAAGTTGACATTCCTTGTGGAATGGGAGACCTTCAATGTTCACTACACTCAGCACCTATATTCAGTTCTGCTGCACACTAAGAAATTCTCCAGGATCAAGGTATTTTCTTTTCCCACCTTTTTTAAACTTCAAGAGAACACAATGTTCAGTCTTGTTCCCCTTGAGTGAACAACAAATTCATTGCAATATCTGTTTGATTTCCAATCTCACATTTTAAAGGCTCTTTGCATACATGAGACATGCCTCTGGGTGTCCAGTGCTGTTGGTGTTCAGCAATTTTAAATTTACCACTCACCTTACAGGAAACCATTTACTCCTCATTTGTGATCATCAACTCAGTCTTGTTCTTGGTCTTGAAGGACTAAATGTTAATTGAAAGAACTGAGTGGGTTCGGGTTTGGAAAGGGAAGTCTGTTTTGTACATCTGCCTCCAGGCTGTCTGTTTCTAACTTTATCAGAGGCATCTTCTTCGCTGTTAAGTATTTGGTAGTTTCAGGAGGTGAATGTGTGCAGAGATCATATCGACCCCCTGCACATGCTGGTAAACCACACAATTGGATCCCACCTACCCCCAAAAGAGCCTTTCTGCAGAGTGCCTGATACTCACTCCCAATGCCAACCCACCTCTCACCTCATCACAAATCACCAATGCCCAACCTCTCCCCTCCCCACCTCCGATCTCCTCTTTCATTCAACACTGGTTTAATATGTTGCCTCCTTCCTTTGAGATAGTGGTTGTTGATACTGAGATAACAAGGTGTAGAGCTGGATGAACACAGCAGGCCAAGCAGCATCAGAGGAGCAGGAAAGCTGACGTTTCAGGCCTAGACCCTTCTTCAGAAAAATGTTGATACTTGTGTCCTTCTAAACAATTCCCTAAAATCTGATAGACTTTCTGCAGAGGTACAGGTCTGCCACATGGACGGCTCGATTTTTCCCTGGTTTTCCATTTTTTTCATTTTGAGTATGATACAAGTGTCTGTGGAAGGTCATGAGCTGATTTTTAAAGTTTTGCTTTGGAAACCAATACTTGGACAAATTCTACATCTCGACTGTGTCACTCTTCTTTTTAAATGCTGATACTCTAATTGGACAGGAGTCAGGTTTGGTGCAGAGTGTCTCCAGGAGGTTTGAAATCTCCCTACCTGGGCAGTGGCATTGGCAGAAGACAGGGCCTGATGCCTCCCAATACCACCCTCCGTTTGAAAATCCTGGTGTTTTCAAGGTGTTAGGATCCACAGATAACCTCTGGAAATGGAACCTTTAAATGGTGTCCCACCCAATTTTGATCCTGCTGGCAATTGAAACTCCTGCCCTTTCTGTACATGGGTGAGAATGTATGAATGTATTGGCTGGATGTATGTGCATGTGGGTATCTGCGATGGCCGTATGTTTTGTATGTAATTATTTCATGTTGCTGCTTTAACCCGTCTGCAGCTTCCACACCAGATAGCCTGAATTCTACAGTTAATCTAATGTCTCCTGGGCAGCCTACAATTGCTGGGACTTCAAATGGTGATCAAACAAAAGGCCTCACAGAAACGATTCCGAAACAAGAAAGGCAAAAAGGGAAACCATGGGAAAGAAAGGACGACACTTCGGTAAAGTTAAAAGTTTAAGTAAAAATTTGTAGCCGCATTCTAATCTGATAAGGTGTTAATGAGCTTGTTAACAATTTGATGGGTGTATTTCCAGCATCAGTCAATGTTGGAAGACTCTGATTGTCGTTATGGGCGTATGTTAAGTCTGGAGGACCATTTCCTTCAAACTAGAAGTAGCTGATGATTGTAAAGAGGCAGTTAATTAATGGTATCCCTATAACTTCTTTATTCCTTCAAAGTCTCAACATTTTCAACCTTAACTGTTTCTTTTAAATAGATAATGATACTCATTTGAAGAGCTGGTGCAGGCACAATGGGCCGAATAACCTCCTTCTGTGCTTTAACAATTCTATGAAAACATAATAATGGCTTAAGAACAAGCATTAGGAGGAGGCTGTCAGCCCTTCAAGCTTGTTCCACCATTCAGTAAGGTCATGGCTAAACCATGACCTATCTTTCCATATACCCACCCTCTGCCCCATATCCATTTAATATCTTTAGTTAACAAAAATCTATCAATCCCAGATTTAAAATTAACAAATGATTCAGCATTGAGTGCTGTTTTCAGAAGAGAGTTCCATACTTCTACCACCCAATTTCACTCCTGGAGAAGTTTTTCTACGATTTACTGCCCTTGATTCCCAAACAGTTTCTCTGTATTTTGTGTTTCCTTTCATGTTTTGAAACCATGCGTCAAATCACCATGAAAGCTTCAAAACTTCAAGGAATTTAACTTAGCTTGTGTAATCTATCCTCTTAGCATAACTTTTGGAATCCAAATATCATTCCAGTAAATCTATATTTCCCTCCATCCAAGGCCACTGGATGCTTGCTAGATGCCCAGAACTGTTTAAGATAACTTCATTTGTGGTCAAACCATGGTTTATTATTGCTGCACCAATACCCACAACTGTTTTAGTTCTCTTGATTTAAAGCCCAGTGTTCCCAGGATAGTCTTTCTGATTGTCATCTGTTAATTTAATCCATGACAATTTAATGAACTATGAACCTGGAACTCCAAGTCTTTTTAGACTTCCGTTCTGAAAGTCTCCTATGGGTCCAAAGTGAATGACCTCACATTGAAATCCGTTTGCCAGTTTGTGCCCATTTACCTAAACTATCAATAACTGTTTGTAATTTTATTCTCTCACCTATGTTGTTTACAATTGCAATTGGTTCATCAACAAATTTGTAAATTTATCTATCCCACTTGTTCATAAATACAGTGAACAGTTGCGGGCCTTCCTCAGAATCTCGTGGGACACCCACATCCTATTGATTCGAATGCCCACCCATTATCTCTAGTATCTGTCTCCTTCTGCCAAGCCAACCTCCCAAACAGCTCAATAAGAATTCTGAACCTGACAAGGCACATACATGAGAATAATAGCTTCGATTATAACGTCTTACATGAATAATCTGCTATCTTCATTTGTGAAGGATAGGCCCTTGATTAAGAATCAAAGGGTTATTGGCATCTGTAGGATTGTAGCCCTCTATGAGATCTTTAGAAAAGGAAGAAAAGGGGAAGAGGGTTTAGAAAAACCTTCCTCACCATCCCCTTTCCCATCCCCTTTTCCCTTTTAATTGAACACCCTGTCTGTCTATCAGAAGTAAAATGGGCCTGAAATGTAACTTGGTACTGATGTTTTCAAGTGTAAAGTCCAATATTCTTTGCAGCATCTACCAGCATCACCTACAGCTCTTGTAATAATGAACAGGGCAGTCTGAATGGGACTGCAACCTTATACTATAGTGGAGGTCAGTGATTCCACTGAGACAACAGAATCTCAACAGACCTTGGAGACAGCTATGAAGTAAATAAATTGTAATCAGGTATGAAAATACAAAACTGAAGTCAGGCATCAGGAGTTGCTCTTTGTTTGATCTTGTGATGATTCACTGTAGTGGCATCCTCAAATTTCTCATACAAGCTTTGTTTTCAACTCCAGTATGCTGGTATCAAGGCTTCTGATGATGTCAACATTGAGGTAGTTACCCTTTGTTACTGCCAAGCCTGCTGTCTACCTGCCTGCATTATACCATAAACGTAGCCGAGTATCTAACCAGTGTTACTAACTGCTTGGCTGCTGCATTGTGATAACTTCGAGAAAGAGGTGGTCTTGAAATACTGAGTTGCTTTGTTACTAACATTGCTATATTTACTAAACCACTTGCAATTACAATTGCGTTGGTTTTGTTTTTATTTCTTCGTAGGTTATGGTGCTGCTAGGACAGCATTTTTTGCCCATTCCTAACATCCCTTGAGAAAGTTGTGGTAGGCTGCTGCTGTTCTTGGTGTGTACACCCACAATGTTGTTGGTGAGGGAGTTCCAGGATTTTAACCCAGTAATAGCATTGGAATGATGATTTAGTTCCAAGTCAGAATGATGTGTGGCTTTAGAAGGGAACTTGCATGTGGTGGATGAATTCACTTCCTTTTTCCTATTAGAGGTCATGGGTTTGGAAGGTCATAATGAGTCCAGGTAGAGAAGCAGGTGTCTGGCCATCTGTTTTTTTTTTACTAACTATCATTCCTCGAAGGTTAATTATGAATGTTTGGCTGAGCCTCAATACTCTCAAATTCATTAGTTCATTAAGAGGTTAGTTTGGACAAACTGGAGTATTTACTTTGAATAATTAACATCTTTGAGATTGTGATCAGTTGTTCTTTTCTGTGATCTCTTCTTCAGTGTCTGTATATTTATTTGGACACGATAAGGAGGTGTGAAATTGATAAGCTTCTGGCACTGATACTCAACTGCCGTGTCTAATACTTGTTCAGGGTTATAGGAATGATCATCTTTTTGACAGCAGGTTTCTGAATGGATGTTTTCCCCCAGTATTTCAACACTTGCCGTTATTGTTAAATGGCTCTCTAGGGCACACTGGGCAATGTAGTTGGCAGGGAGGTGGCAATAAAAGCCATGGAGGTGGCCTGGGGACTAAATGGGGAGGTGAGAATTTGTGAAGGGAGAGACTGCAGGGCCTAACCACTTGAAATACATCCGGGATGAAGATGCAGAGAACTAAGGTAGGCCTTCTAACCAGACCACCTTGGCACAGGCTGCCCCTGTGACATCTGCAATCTGCTTCCTGGATCAATGCATTTGCCAAACATGCCTTTTAAACCAAAGTGGGCCAGCCAAGTCTGAACATTAACTGCCTTAGTCATGAAAAAGTCGCCCACTGCAAACCACCCAACTATTCCCACACTATCCCGAAAACACATACAAGCACAAGACCTCATCCAATCCCAATCCCCTTTTACACACACTGTAACCCATCCAACTCCCCACCCTCTCACACACACTGTACCCCATCCAACT